CAATCTACTATGCACACTTGATATTAACCCGCTTCTTCTTTACCTAACGCAAGCTGGGTAGTTTGAAGCAACAAGGTTGGGGCCAGTAGAGAGGCCATAACTTTTACTGAACACTCAAAAAGTGCAATAACTTCGAGTCCTCTAATAAGATGTCAATAGCTCACTGTCATTTATAAATATACAAACCGAAGGGACATTTCATCACTCACATATTTGAAGGTAAGCTCCATACTCGAAAAGACAGCAAACAGCTATATTCTCTGTACTTAAGCATTTGCTCTAATATACTATATTCTAATTCAATCACATCGTCTTCAGGATCAATAAAACAAACCAAACTAAAATTCACATATTTGTGAAGTTTTGCGGTTGAGGTTTTGCGGGATTACAAGGCCATAATTAGTTTCTGACAAAGATCATTGGGTTGGTCTCCTCCACCAGACTTTTGCATGTTCAAACCCTCTTATCAGAACTTTCGGCCCAGTTGGCTAGTAAAGGAAGAGCGACAACTTAATCGGCAACTGGCCGCAGTGATTTGAATCAGAAACCTCAGATAGCGGGAACGAGAGCATCTTTTGTATTAAACAAGTTGAAAAAAGCTCGAAAAAGAAGTAACAAAATCTAGGAAAGAGAACGCAATTAGCACTCTTCGCCCACGTCGGAAGCTCCTGTGCTGGTGGTTGATTTAAAAGATCTTGAATCATATTAAAACCATTTGATATTCAAAGTATTATAGCAAGATAACTCACAAAAGAGAGCAGTAAGAAGAGTTTTCGTAGTCCAAGCTAAACATGTCTTCATACAATACTAACGTAGCTATAATACGATATTCGCCCATGTCGTAGGAACTCACACAGTAGCTGTACAGTAGATCAGCTAGCGCGCTGCTGTAGAGGTATATACAAATAGACACCGTGACCAGCTACCGCAAGTTCTTATCTTTAATTAGATGACTTAAATAGCAATACAACAGATGGAGATCATCCCTATACCTCTCAAACACTATAATATATCCTATCGATGTCAGTATAGTAGATTTCTTCTAGGTCAAGGCAAAGAACTTATCAGACGACTCAAACACAATCCTACAAGACTTTAGAGAATAGAATAAATGAATTATAGAGTAGATTGCCAGGGGAAGAGCACATATTTATAGACTTCTAGGCTAATCCTTTGTCTGTGGACTGCGCGCACTACTCGATTGAAGGAAACACCTCTCCTAATGGAACCCTGTTGAAGCTAATATCTTCATTTCACCACAACTATTTCAACGACATACTTAATACCTTTGGATCCTCAGTGAGAATAATAATTGTGAATAATGTTGAAAAAAAAGTCGAGTCGGTCAAAAAATGTTAGCTAGTTCAACTATTAAATCTTAACGCCCTCTTTAACTAAGGCGCATAGGAAATGTAATGTCAGACTCATTTTCATTTTCTGATTTCTTATATATAAACCGCTCAACGTTGAATCACCGAAAAGCATCTTCAATTTTATCCCTACAAAATAGGGAATTTCTTTTGCCTCGCTGAAGCATGTGTTGTTGTGTTGATATGAATCTATCCTTTTAGACTACAGAAAGCGAGATCACAGTCGGATGTGCAGGTGCTCAACCCATTGAAGCTTGGCTACACGTTGTCAACATTCAGTTATCGAACCAGCAAACATTAAGTTTTTTTTTTTTTTTTTACTTCATTTTAGTGATCATAAGACCTAAAATTAGCATCCTTAGATTTCTGAGCCATTCAACAAAGGTAGAAATGTGTACAGTTAAAATATACATCTCAAAAAGCATTCATACCTGGTCCTTAACGCTATCAGACTTGATCATTTTCCCTAATCGACTCATTGAACGTCACTCTTTAATCAAGTCAAATAATAGAATTCCAACAAAAAGCAATCAGTTTCCAAGATTTAACACATCAATCAAAAGTTAGAATCCCATACATAGTCACCTACTTCTACATAATCCATAAAAGATACCAAAACAGATGAAAATAATACTACCAACACCCTTGACTTTCTCTTACAGACTAAATAGAAGGGCAAAACAACTCAACAGAAATTGGAGACTGGCAGCCCAGTGAATTACCCAACCCTAGCGAGAAAGACAACTCAATAGAAACCTCTGACCACATCCCATTAGTAAATAAAACGAATCGACTTCGAATACTTTGCTAACCACCATAGCCCTCTTCACAACAAAACACAGATTCCAGACATTTCCTGACCACCGAGCCCTTTGAAAACATTCTGAAAATGCTTACTGACCTCAAGCGCGACAATCCATATTTCACTTTTCCAGCCACTCGACTTCTCAGACTCTATCAACACCTATGGGAGTCGTACGTGAACAAACACATCGATGGCCAAAGACTAGAACAGAAGAATCTTCTTTTGAAGGAAGCTAATACGCACCTAAGAACAAAGAGAGATAGGCTTCACCTTCACCATAACAAACAACTCATCCGGCTGCAATTTTTTGAACGAGCACTAGCATCGTCTCAGCAGAAACTAACTAGCATACTTAATAACTAGAACTACCCTTTCAGACTCAATCTAACAGGGCTCTTAAATAATACAAAAGAAGAGTGAAGGATTTACTACTTGAGATTACCTTTTTTATTGTTTAGAGAACGATACTACAATAACATTATAATCGAAAGAAATATACAGCATAAGCAGTGATTTCCATTCCTTATCCATACAAAATCCCCATATTCTAAACTAATCTCATCTATAAACCCCCACTATATTATACACAAAAAACTCCAGACCCAGAGACAATGTCTTCAGAAGTACACCTAGCAAAAGGAGTGGTAATTAACTTAAGGATTCAAAAAGCTCTATAAAAGGCCACAGAAACAGTCGAAAGCCAATACCTGTTACAACAAATCCGTGCCAAGAAATCACATCTAGCAACTATCCGCGTATATATCCAACAGAGGTTCCACACAGCCATCTCAACTTGGAGAAGAACAAAAATATACTCTTCTGTCATATCGCCAGACTTCTAATAAAATAAGACCAATCAAAACTCTATAGATTACACTTTAGCAGGGAAAGCGAACGCCAACATAAAGAAGAACATATCGCTAGCCTAAATAGACACAAACAAAGAATCTAGACCCAACCACTTGAAGACCAACAGCTTATCGTTATCATAAGTAGATTATAGAAAGCTTTCGATTAAGGATAGCCCTGAAACCGCACATCCTATAGGCTCACTCTCGTCCAAAAGGATCTACCGAGGCCGTTCAGGGTCGATAGCGAGACAAGGAGGAGGTATCAATATGCCAGAGGACTCCTACCAGATGGTGTGAAGATCGAAATCCAAATCACACTCTACCAAATTTAACACCAAAAAATCCAAAGAAGAATAAGTACAGACCGTTTTTACTTGACCCATTCATTGTTACTCTAAACTCGCTGTCAAAGGCAGGTGGAATAAACACAAGAATAGAAATAACAATTGGAAGAGAATGAAACAAACAGACTACCGTAATATAAGCAGGAAATTTAATTATAATCTAATCCCAGTTCATAGCCGATGCTATATTCTCGAATATCAAACTTTTGATACATCAACAGCAGTGAAACATTAATTCCATCACCGCACCCAACAGAATCTCACCGATGATCAAATAAGTTTCAAAAAGAAAAATCATATTCAGAATAAAGCAAAAATAAGTAAAATAACCAGCAAAGAACGACCGTCTTCACTAGCACTCAATAGAACCAAGAGTCATCAAGGCCCATCAACATAGAAGGCTTGAGTATTACTCGATTGCAAAACTAAAACAACACCATTACAAAGTGCTCGAACTACTTACTTTCGATCCGAAAGTATCAATTTCTACTCATCACAGAGCTATAGCAGAATCTCACTGTCTCTTGCTAGCCACTCATTTGACTCTTAAAGCTGTCGCTACTCTTCTTCAAATCATATCTTCTCGGCAGACTTGACGACATAGCAATCCCACAGGCAAAAGTACAGATCAAACAGTTTAAAAGCTGGCATAGCCAGGGCATCGTTGTATTATAAAAGTTTCATAAACTCCGCCGTAAGGGAACCCCGCGTACACACTAGAACCTATACAGTATTAGTGATCTCATTCGTTTGCTATCCAAAAAGACTTAACTAACCTCAAACTCAATGGCCACAAAATCTGGAAATTACTGATAGTAACTTTGCAAATTACTATTATCTTCTAGATCGTAAGAAGACCAACACTGTCTCTTGGCTGGCCGATCACATAGAGAAAACAAAGTTGGATAGTCCATCGCAGCCTTAGAATAAAATACAAAAGACATTATACTCGAGAGCCTTTTATAACTAACAATCAAACTAAGACTACTATAATTGCCAGCCCTAAATTCGATTGTTTTCAAAAAAGTCAGTAAACAGATACCTCAACAATTACTTCAACTATTGACGCTCGATCTCACCTGTTACTCACAACTAATTACTCAATTTAATATAAAAATGGACAACAGACAAAGCCTTGAAACAAAAATTGTAGGAAATACCTCCTCATAATAATATGCAAGTACAATTTGAATGGATTGGATAGTATAAAACAGCTAGACTTCATTAAAGCTGAACATAGCATTACTATGAATAAATTTATTCAGCAAAGAGATACACATAATTTACTCCGAGACTTCTTAGCAAATGATGCTGAGAACAGTCTTCTAATATTACATCACGACAGATATAGATATCGCTAACTATACAGACCACCAAACTTCATCCTCGAAGACCGCCTCAAAAATATTTAACAAAAGTTGTCGGCTTCTATTCTATTCTGAATAACCCTCTAGATGCAGCCATCTCTTGCTAGCCCAAACGATCTCTTCAAACTAAAGCTTTTGAATCTAATGTTTGTTAAAAAAACATTAACAATCAAGAAATAACCACCCTTAACTACCAACATCAATAGATCTTCAAAATATTCATTCCAAAGATTAACATCAATTTAAATATAAAGCAATAGTGTCTAGACAATCTCCAAGTCACCACCACAAGCAGCAATACAAAAGACAGTATCGTAAGATACAATTGTGCTTTCATTAATATTCAGACATGTGCCTTGTTGTACAAATAGCCTGACCACATCATAATGGCCGTATACAGCCGCTTGACAGATTAGCAGATCTATAAAACCCCTCCCATTGATCTCAAAACTCCCCATACTCAACAGACAAACAACCGTACTCACACATCCACAAAATGCAACAATAGAGATTGGAGAATAACCTGCAACACAAAGATTCAAATCGATCTCCAGCACCGCAAACAGTCGTCATAGAAGCATAGTATCCAATCTGGTCACAGCATAGTATAGAGATGTAGACAACATTTCGAATCTCCCACAGCCCCCAATATGATTAACATCAATGCCTTTCTCAGACAACAACCTTTCGATTATCTCATAGTAAGACGAGTAAATAGAAAACCAAAGAAACGTATTCCCATCTTTGTCTATGCAGTTCACATTAACACACAAATGACTCAGAAGCAAATCGACCATTTCAGAGCGATTGCTTTCAATAGCGAGATGAATCGACGTATAACCTTTCCAGTCTTAAGTATCTAGTACCGGATCTTTTCTTCTTAGAAGCCGTTGGACAACAATAAAAGAACCATAAGCAACTGCTTGATGCAGTAGTAGCTAAGCATCCCGTAATAATTAAGTTCCAAAAAACAAATGAGAGTTGAGGTCGTTGGAAAGAATTATTTTCATCACAAGTCTATTAAAGTAACGTACCCAGGCCCAAAGCGAATAGCCTGAATCATCCTGTAAATCAAGATTATTACCTCTTAACAGCAGAAGATAGACGAACCCTATCCTGAAAACAAAAACCGCTAGGTAAAGCGCAGTTCGGTCGTGTTTGTGTTTAATGTCCACTCTGACTTCGGGTTGTTCTAAAAGCCTCTTGACCATAGAATAACTTCTATAGTGAATAGAATACCACAGCACAGTTTCGCACGCTTGATTCTGGATGTTGATATCTAGCTCTCAGCAATTAAGCAGCAGCTCACGCATTGCGACAGAAGAGTATTGAAACGTCCTCATCAAAGATGTTTTCTCCCAATAAAAGGCATTGATATTGGCATTGTGCTGAAGTAAAACCGCAGCAAGATCAACATTATCGTTATTAACAGCCAGGTACAATAGATTGCTGTTCTAGAATTTAATATTATATCTCCAAATACTAGGTTGAAGTCTAAAATCAAGCTCTTTGCACGATTTTGCAAGAACGAACGTCACACTACCTTCCAAATACGACACAATCCACAGCAAAAGCTCGTTGGATAGATCTCTGATGTTAGACTATTATATATTAGCTCATCAGTAAGTACGGTAAGAATAAATTCGAACATACCATAATTAGACAATAGATTAGAGCTAGAAGGAAATAAAGTGTAGGCGAGGATAAAGCAAGAGTTATAAAGATTAGACATAACGAGGCCTTAATATACCCGCCTCAACTAAATTCCGTGGCTAGCGAAGAGTGTAGCCCATCGCTCCACTAAGATACATAGCAATCACACAGCAGCATCCACGCCTCAACAATACTATTTAGACGGAGTTGAAGAATCTCTGTTTTCCAACTTCTGGAAACACCAAAGTTATTCCCAGTGGCGTGTCAAGCGCCCCGGAAGACCGAATCTGTCTTAGTACCACTTAACACATCTATCGCCATAAGCATTAAGGCAAATCACAACCTGCATACACTTGAGGATTTCAGAAGGCATCTCTCAATTTTATTAACTATGCTACCGACAACAGTTGCCAATCCTTCTGCCAATACATACTCATCGCAATCCACAGCCACAATTGTAGCTATTTGGGCAGCAGCGATTTGGAATAATATCTCTTCTCGCAGGCAACTGATCGGCCTATACTAGCACATACTGCATCCGAATGCATTCTTCGACGCATCGACTGTTTCAAGGAAGCATTCCATGTTAGCAGCCACGCAGACATATAGGCAAGGAGCTTACGGCGATAGCATATAAAGCTGGCGGGAGAACGCCGCAGAGATTGCCCAACAGCACCAACAATCCGAGAAATTTTCTGCCTTTGAAGATCGCATCAATGTCCACCACGCTGCCTTGGAATCCGTTTATTATTTGTGAGATAGAAGTCAGCCCCAATAGCAGTCCTAGCTTCTATTGCGGAATGACGAAGAAAGACGCTCCGTAAAAAAACTCGGTCAAACTTGAAAACACCAAGATAAACCATCAAAAGCTGAACACTCCCACCAGAGAACTGTTCCAATTGTCAACATTGCAATCCAAGCTCTACGCTATTGCCAAAGAATTCCTCTACGCGAGATGGCACCGGCAACGGCAGGCCAGACAAGTTGGCCAGCAGTGGTATGAAGCAGCCATCCGCAACCAGGCACGAGTACCTCATAACTCTAGAGTTGCCACTCCATCCAGTGTGCATCCGTGCCAGCGTCAGACGTCGTCAGCCTCCAGCAGACGCCTGGTAGAATCGGACAACACTGACCGGTCACTCTCTCACAGGCTCAGACAAGGCCCGCCGGCGCCCCTGTTGACTAGTGCTGGGCCAGTACAATCCATCAATCCCTTTGTGACTACCGAAATGCTACGGGCAAACAGTGTATCATGGCATGTTTCGCCGGCTCGATCAGCTATCCTGACATCGGTCACTAATATCTGGGCTAGAGTCCAGGACTTGTCGCTGCAGAATCTCAGCTTGAGTGAAGATGTCAACGAGATTCACTGTGTGTTTTGTTTGGCTGAGGACGGGGAACAAGCAAACGAATGCGTGATCCTGCGTTGCGATCAGTGCCGAGCGCTGGCCCATCTTTGCTGCGCGGAAGAGTGGTTGGAGAAGCGACGTACAGGCTTTGGCACGTCATGCTGTGTGTGGTAAGTATGGATGATCTCAGTTCTGCAATGTCGGGATGCTGATAAATGCAGTCGAAACGAAGGAAGTCTAGACGCCTTGATTCGTCCACTCCGAGACCCCTCGGCAAGCGAACCATCAGCCGATAGAGAACCTGTCACCGTCAGACATTCAGCACCAAACGAACCTCGTCAGAGTCAGCTGACTCAGCGATCAATGGGATCCCCACGGGTGTCAGTCGACCAGAGTGGGCCCCGTCGCTCAGCTAGAGTGGCAGGGGCTGATCTACCGCGTCACCTGTCTACCTCTGCACCGCTTCGCCGGTCGGCACGACTGAATTCCACTCAGCGTAATTGATCATCCTTCACAGCGAGTGAGAATAGGAAAATAGCGATGCAGCGGTCTTGCGCACGTGACAGCACGTGACCAGACCGCGGCATTCGGACCAGCAACAGAGAGATATGGGAGTTTTGAAGCAAGCTTAGCTAGCAACCGAATGAATGAATTCTTGATCGTTTGACTCCAGAGCACTACGCGACTGATTCAAATTTGCAAACGCTAGATGTAAATGAGCCTCAAAATCCCATTGGGACCTTGCTTCATTTTAGATACCATAGCTCGAAGCCGATTGCCAGTAGATAAAAGTTTTTTGTACATCATATCTAACAACGGCGGCCAAAGTAATGCCGACAGCGAGTTCAGCCGAGCCTTGTGGAGCGAAAAGGCGGACCGTACTGGCAGAAAACACAGCTCGCAGGTCGGCAGGCGAGGCTCGACAATTCTTTACAGGATGGATCGAAATTAGTTTCACCACATGCACACGGAGAATCTATCTCAAACCCTCTCTTGAAACACGCTATACTTATTACAGTTACTCTTCCCCTGAACCCCTGTCTTGGCAGTAATTCAATACACGTGTAAATGACAGCATAAAAATAGCTTCTGTATTAGACCTGTATGGTTCTTGGGGTTTCTAGAACGTTGACCCTGCAAACAGGTCAAACACAGGGGTGCTCGTCTCGTCTGGAGATGTGGCAGGATTTCGGATCCCACTCCCGTCAACTGCGCACCGCTACATCGAGCGCGGTGTATAGAGACAGTACTAGTGGGTAATATTTATTTTCTTTGTGGAGCAAGCTTGACCTTCTAATGGAAGACTGGCATTTGCTTGATTGATTGGCTGCGATCATGCTGACGTTGGATTCTTTGGAGCCTTCAGACGAAGACGATGACTACTGATTCATATCCCGATGAACGTGATTTTCAACCGCATATACTTGAGCCTGGAGACCAAGATTCGCAATATGCTCCCACTCCAGGATACTACGGTCGCACACCTACGTCAAGCTGTAGGCTCAGCCCTTCCCCCGACCATCACCCCGAGCATGATCTAGAAGACCTGTGCCAATACGAGCCCGAAAGACCCAGACTGCTTCAGCTATCCGAGTGGCACGATGGGATGCTAAGTGACGAGCTTCCGGAACACTGCATCCAATATACGATAGAATAGAAAGTTACAGTGAATTAGAAGTTGCTCTCGCGAGACACTGAAGAGGATGTAGTCCTGACTCCGAGTGCTTATTGGTCGAAGACCCTGAAGGATAAGCTTGAAAGGTTGTTAGAAGGGAAAATCCCCCGTAAAGGAAGGGTAAGGTCGGACGACACTTCAATCGCTGTATCGGTGAATGATCGATCCCAACGCGACCTGATGAAACGGTTTGACCATCTCGACATCAATTGGACTGCTGTTGAAAAGCAGCTGCTGAACTGGGGCGAATTGTTTCGTCGAAGCAAGAAACTGAGGCTAAGTATCACCTTCAAATATGTTGAGGACGACTCTCCACAAAATTACCTCGGATAGAGTCGAGAAAAGAGGAAGGTCATCGGTCACTAAACGAATGCTCAACGAGCGAGACGCTCAACTGGATGCCGAAGAAAACATGTCCGGGCAAGAATCGATATGGCGGGGTGTTTACAATCTAATGCGTTGCCCATCCTCCTCATGCCATCTCGACCCACATTGCTGGCAAGACCCCCACGGAAAGAAGCACTCTAAACTAAGGAGCCATCAATTAAAGCATTTGATTGCCTTTGTGGAGAAAGGCGGCGCCTTGCTGTCTCATGAGGATGTCCCGGATAATTTCCGTGAAGAACTATATATGGAAGAGCGGCATAGACTAAAGAGCCAACAATCTCAGAAGAACAAGATGGTAGACACCCCAGAAAGCTGTCAGCCTATCAATATCAACTTCAATAGGATGCAATCTTCCCCGCAACAAGACACATCCGACCCAACCACAGCCTCAGCAATGGTTCTGCCATCCAATAACCAAGCCATAGAAGACCTCAATCTTACTAGGCTAAGAGATGAAGCTGTCAAAGATTACGGCGCATGGCATAAATCGAATATTGGTGACGAAAATCTGAAAGCACAGTTTCGGCAAGCATACAATATGGCGTTAGCCAATGGTCTTGATCTTAGACTGATTCACAAGGACCAAGATCCCTCATTCTTCATCAACAAAGGGATTGTGGTGAGTATTGCACGCCAATTCGTGAGAGCTATTGGCCAATGGATTAAGTGTGTAAGGAATATCACACTAGACGACCAAGGTACGCAGGCCACGGCTTGAACCCACATGAAGACGCAAGAAGGGTTCGTACATACTAAATTAGCTTTTAAATCATTTCTGTTTTATACAAATCCTTAAGTTAATGATTAAACCACAACTATACACACAAAAGTAGAGCTGGCAGAGAATTGAGTAACTTTTGTAGCTGGTAGTATATATATTGTGTCATTGCGAGGCGTAACGCCAGATCGCCTCTAACGCTGCCAACTAGCCATAGGTGTCAATGACCACTCCAGAATATCGGAAATAACCCAAGGCACTCTGTTTTCGAGAACCAACAACCTCAATGCACCGCTCGAGAAAAGTTTGAAATTCTTGTTCTAGGTCTTCTTCATACCACACAAAGTTCCGTCTAATATATACCTTTAACTCAAAGAAAATCTCCTCGATAGGATTCAAGTCGGGTGAGTAAGGTGGTAGATACATAAGCTTTACCCCTGCTTCGATGCACATTTCCTCAATATGATCAAAATGATGGGAAGATACGTTATCCATAGCTAGAACGGACTTTGGTTCAGGCCATCTCCCACAATGCCGAAGAAGCTGACCAATAAAGTCCTCGAAGACTACAGCATCTGTGGAGCCCTGGAGTACACGAGAGAGCAGAATCCCATCTTGGCAATATGCGAGTAGTATCTGGTACCGCTGGTCACGATAGAAGTTGACTACCTGCAATGGCAACGTGCCTATGTAACGAAGACCAGCCAGTCCTTCGGAACCCGATTCGCTTATCACACCCAGACTCATCCACATAGACCAAATAATAAGACTGAAAATCCAACAGATTATGTATATAGAAATCTCGTAGATCCGCATTCCGTTCCTCAACTTTCTATCAAGCCACCTTCTTCGATCAGCCTACCGAAGCCAAAGCCCATTTGAGACTTGAAATTTGTGACTTAGACGCGGAATTCGTCCCACAAAAAGATTCCCATCTCGTCCACATATTACCCGGGATTTTCAAGGAAATAGTCACACAATGCTTCTATCATCGGTGTTATGCTTCGTCATCGACCAACCCGAGTTGGGGGTACTCTCACATTTCCTAACCGGCGAAGGTTGTTGCTGATGTTCATAATAGAACACTTATTGCATTCAGCAGCTTTAGCCATTTGCAATGTAGTCAATGATTTGCTCGATATCATGTGCTGGATCATTTCAAGCTTTGAAAGGGAGAGACTTGGGACCATGTTGCGCAGAGAAGTCCTGTTCAGTGAGCAAGAGAAATGATTTTAGGTGAAAAGTTTGGGGGATGCTGGATATTAGGAAATACACGTGACTTGGCGATCTCGCAGTTCCTAGGAGCTTGGGGGCCATCTCAAACCTGCAGACCTCGAAAAAATACGATTACTAGGCTGAAAAACCATGCGTGAGTTTCGCTATGGTAGCAACAGAATACGATCTCAGATTTTCCATTCCTTCGTTTGAAACGGGGGACAGAGTATGGGATCAGGCTGGTTATCGCGTGCTGCACTTGATATAGGTGTTCGAGCTCGGGCCAGTAAATTCCTGGAAGGTGCTAATCTCTCCCTACTCATGACCAATCGAATGTTCTATGTGGGTTGCTGCCAATCGATCCCCATGTCCTAGCGCCGCGAAAGTCACCTGATGGTGAATCTGAGATGCCCCGCCTTCAGCTGAGAAGCAGATAACAAGCCTTCTTATTAACTACAAATGAGGCCCATTTATTCGACTATGGCATCAATATCATTCCGTGGCAAAAATCAGGGGCTCCAGGTCAGAGATAACCATGGCTCAATCGAGTTCCATCTGCCTCCAGGTAAGTTAGAGGAGCGGGACAAGCTCGCGGTCATGACTAATCGCCGCATCCTAGTGCGACCAGAAACTCCACCCAGCCCTCTATCGACTGTCCCGTTCGCGCATGATCCAGACTTTGTCAGTCGCGACACACTACTTCAACAGATACACAAGAAAAGTTCAGTAGCAGGGTCAAGAATAGTACTGGTCGGTCTCGGAGGTGTCGGGTGAGTATAGAGCAACCACTATCTTGATTTATGACTCACCGTTAAAAGGAAATCGCAACTCGCCATTGAATACTCCTATCACATCCGATCCCAATCGCCGGCGACATGGGTATTTTGGGTCCATACTAGTAATAAAGCCCGGTTCGAGCAAAGTTTTCGGGACATCGCGGAACAAATCAAAATCCCGGACCGTCAGGATCCTAAAATCAACATATTCAAACTTGTCGAGAATTGTCTCCAGGATAAGGATAGAGGGAAATAGCTTTTAGTCCTTGATAACGTTGATAACGATCAACTTCTCTGCTCGTTTTCGGTAACAAGCAAGGAAGATCCGATAAGCAGCCGAACAAACGGCTCGACAAAACCACTGCTAGAATATATTCCTAGGTGCCTAAATGGTTCTATCGTTATCACGAGCCGCACCAGAAATGTTGCATTGAAGATAGCCGATCATAAGGATCTTATTGAGGTTAAACCAATGGAGGAATCTGAAGCGCTAAAGCTTCTCCAAAGAAAGCTTAATCAACCAAGTGAAAGCGAAGAGGGTCGACAATTAGTGAACGCGTTAGAGCTTATACCACTAGCGGTCGTACAGGCCGCTAGTTGTATTCGAAAACAAACGCCTCGCTATTCAGTATCACAATACCTAAAAGACTTCCAAGGGAGTGATCGTGAAGCAACAAAGCTTCTAAAAAAAGAAGCAGGTCACCTCTGCCGGGACTGGGAAGCAAAGAATTCAATTTTGGTAACGTAGCAAATATCATTCGACTATATACGCCAAACAAAGCCATCAGCAACAGAGTTACTTTCTCTCATAAGCTTATTTGATCGGCAAGGGATACCAGAGAACCTTATCCGGCATCAACCTAAGGCCAACAACTCATCGATTTCAGAGCCTCTGAATGACCTTAGTGATGAGGAGGAGTCTGCATCGATCATAGGTCCCGATTTTGAAGATGATATCTCAGCACTAAGGGATTTTTCATTTATATCTGTCAGTGAGGACAACACTTTCTTTACCATACACCGGCTAGTGCAATTGACTATGCATGCGTGGTTAAAATCTCGTGGACAAATCGATGAATGGAGAGAGATGTTTATCAGCAATCTATGCAGGGAGTTTCCCATAGGTGAATACGAGAACTAGGGGATGTGTCAGGCGCTCTTTCCACATATCAAATGCGCAATATCCCAACAACCAGCATCACCTAACGCTCTACAACAATAGGCTACATTGCTTTATAGAGCTGCATACTATGCGTCGCAAAGAGGCAATATCGCGGATACAAGAGAAATGGCAGCAAGATCAAGAGAGCAAAGGATGATTTTACTAGGTGAAGAGCATAAAGAGATCCTCAATAGCTCAATCATATTGGCAAAGGCGCACTAGCTTGACGGCCGGTGGGAGGAGGCTGAGCAGTTACTAGTGCAGGTGATAAAGACTCATAAGACAAAGCTCGGCGAGGAACATCCCTCCACGCTGGTAAGTTTGGCCAACCTAACGTCGACTTACAGGAACCAGGGGCGTTGGGAGGAGGCTGAGCAGATCGATATGCATATGATAATGACAAGCAAGGCGAAACTCAGCGAGGACAATCCCATCACGCTCACCAGTATATCCAACTTGGCGTCGACTTACAGGAACCAGAGGCGGTGGAAGGAGGCCGAGCAGCTCGAAGTGCAGGTGATGAAGACAAGCAAGACGAAGCTCGACGAGGACCATCCCTCCACGCTGACCAATATGACCAACCTGGCATCGGTATATAAGGACCAAGGGCGGTGGAAGGAGGCCGAGCAGCTCGATGTACAGGTGATGAAGACAAGCAGAATGAAGCTCGGCGAGGACCATCCCTCCACGCTCACCAATATGTCCAACTTGGCATCGACTCACGGGTACCACGGTCAGTGGAAGGAGGCGGAGCAGCTCTTTTTGCATGTGATAAAGATTCGCAAGACTAAATTCGGCGAGGACCATTTTAAAACGCTTTCCAGTATGGCGGGTCTGGCGGCAACGTACAGCAACCAGGGCCAATGGGAGGAGGCCGAGCAGCTCTTTTTGCATGTGATAAAGACTTGCAAGACTAAGCTCGGTGAGGACCATTTTGAAACGCTTTCCTATATGGCCAATCTGGCATCTATGCTTTGGAACCAACACCGGTCGGAGGAGGCCGAACAGCTCCTTTTGCATGTAATAAAGACTCGCAAGATAAAGCTCAGGGAGGACCATCCCGACACGCTCACCAGTATGTCCAACCTGGCATCGACGTATAGTGACCGGGGCCGGTAGGAGGAGGCCGAGAAGCTCGAGGTGCAAGTGATGGAGACTCGCAAGAGGAAGCTTGGCGATGACCATCCTCGCACGCTATCGAGTATGGCCAGGCTAGCGGCGACGTACAGCAACCAGGGCCGGTGGGAGGAGGCCGAGAAGCTCGAGGTGCAAGTGATGGAGATTCGCAAGACGAAGCTCGGCGAGGACCATCCCGACACGCTGTCGAGTATGGCCCACCTGGCGGCGACGTATAGTGACCGGGGCCGGTGGGAGGAAGCCGAGAAGCTTGAGGTGCAAGTGATGGAGACTCGCAAGAGGAAGCTCGGCGATGACCATCCTCGCACGCTATCGAGTATGACCAGGCTAGCGGCGTACAGCAACCAGGGCCGGCGAAAGGAGGCCGAGCAGCTCGAGGTGCAAATGATGAAGACTCGCAAGACGAAGCTCGGCGAGAGCCATCCTGACACGCTGACCAACCATTATGGCTAATCTCGCTTTCACCTGAAAAACCTCAGCTCACGATGCCGAAGCTATCTATGTGCTTTGAGATTACTTAATCAAGCAGAAGCAAACACTCGGCCCCAACCATCCCAGTACTTTATCCAATTCTGAAACATTGTTAAAATGGAAAACGGAAGCAACAAAGGAGGTTGAAGGGGAGTGAAAAAACAGATGAGGAATGGGAAACAGCTGAGGAGTGACAAATTGATAGTGGATATTAATGAAGGCGCTGGATATGGATGCGCAGATACAGTAGATTTCGAAAACGGCTTCCCCTCGAAACACTGACGGCTTGTTTCTCGGCCTGTACCCGAGACCCCCGCTAGTGCATATTAGTACTAGTGGTATTTTAATTTGTCTTGTAAGCCAAGCATGGTTGGAACTAAATCCAAATTTGAACTAGTGTTGTTTCGGGTACGGGCCGAGAAACAAATCGCGGGTGTTTTGAGGGGAAGCCGTTTTCGAAATCTACTGTAATACGTTTTGGAGTTCATGTTTACATTGCATCTCTGGCTTCCTGTGTACTTTTAAAAGCATGTCCCATAACAAATTGCCCAAGTGCACACTTTTCAAAGGATATTTACCTCCCCGCCCCATCAAGCTTCGCTAGAAAAAAAAATAACAAGATAAGTAGATGGAACTCTCGTCAACAGGCTCAAGAAGCTGCAGGATGCTAGTATTTTTGGTTAGAAAACTAAATGTAAATTACGAAGCAATGAGCACGTGATATAGTCTTTCAATACGATTCAAATTTTGAAACAGAGCCAAGTCAAAACCGGATTAGTGTGTTTCAGACTGGGGTTCGAGATCGATTCTATATGAGCGAAGTGGTGAAACTGATTTCGATCTATCCTGTAATACATACTGCCTCACAACGTATTAAAACCAGCTCGTCTATATCAACCGACAATTATTGTTAATTTGACTCTGGGAACTACCACATAGATTCTGGAAACACCAAAAGCAATTATAGAAATGTTTATCCCTTGGGAACTCCTCCTTAGCTCCTGGGGCCATTTCTTGCTTCCGGGCAACCGATTCTACCCCTGAGATCTCCACTATACGATCCTGGTTGAATACGAATTGTTTTTGGGAACAAGTTGGCTGGATCTGGGAGCTGTCGCGCTCCTGGGACCCTATTTGTGGATCCTAGAGTCAGTATTCTGCCTTCTGAGGTCGCGGAAAGCCCTCACAAGACACCTTCACCAGACCTGCGCATAAATATGCGTCTTTTTAAATTACTCCAGGAAAGGCTTAGCCATAGCCCCAGGAACCGCACTTGAGGTTCCAGGAGGTGATGAAACCGTCAACAGGAACGTGACTTCGGTTCCCCGAGGTGGAGGTACTAGACCCTAGAAGCTACGGATTTCCTGGGGGCTACGTGGCCCCCAGAAGCTGGTTCTTGTCCCCAGAAACTTCACTAAAGCCTCCGGGAGCAAGAGAGCTCCTAGGGCCAAGATGTGCATTCCCAGGGCTGATAGAGCTGTCAACAGGGGCGTGACTGATTTTGTGAGGGTGGGAATGGAGAGTCTACAAGTTACGTATGGTTCCCCTGGGTCTGTGTGATCCCTGGGCAGCTCACATTATTCTCGGATCGGCTTTCGGAATCTTGACGGCCACCAAGGCTGATGCCACCGTGGTTGATGGTTATTTACGCAGAGAAGGTCGTCAACCATCACCTGCTTGCTACATCAAGCCACCCAGCATACTGCTCCAATATTGGCCACGATTGGTTGGCTAGTCAGATCAAGCGACGAACATGCTTTGGTTTCAATCAAGAAATTCAATTTGTAAATTATCTCACCAAATCTGCTGTAGAGTCCATTCCTTTACCGTTTTCATCGCACCTGTGAGGGTCTCACGTATCCGTAGATGAGTGATCAATAGTAAAGAAGCTATAGTAGACTCTAGATACAAGACGTAGCGCGAGGAAGCAAAAGGAACAGGCTTCCTCGCGTTCAGGGGAACCCATATGCACCATGTGGGCCCCGCAGATCATTTCTCCAAACATACTGTATACTTCATGTATATCCCTGACAGCACCTGTGTAATGTTTTTGGACTGCACCTCCAACATTCTTGAAAAATCATCATCAAATTTTGTGATTGTTTATGTTCGTAATCCCCGCTGAGTTGTTCTTCACAGCTCTCCTCTAGGAAGCAGCTCGCACCGCCTCTGACGGTTTTGTAGCTCGGTGCGCGTACTCAACTAGCGATCGCGTAAGCCACGCAAGACAAGACGTAGGAAAGACAAAATGGCCCCTAGAACACCGAACATGGCCTGGCCAACTGCTCCATAATACATAATCTTGTAGTATGGAAAATGGCTCGCACTGTCAAAAAACTCGAAAGATGTCTGAAAGCCGTGGACGTGGCTGGCCACATAACCCCCCAAGGAGAGAACGATCAAGCTCACAACGATTTGAATGCAAATGTAGTAGAATCGAGCGGTGTAATCCTCTTGTAGCCACTTCGGATAGATCACAAGGACAAACCCAAAGATGGAAAACAGGGCTGAGACCAAGGCCACAACCACCATGCTCACGACAACGTTATCCATGAGGCTTTGGAATGTGATATCCAGAATAGAGTTGCTTGAGTTGACGAGGTCAGATTTCGCGTGGTCTCGCAGGACGATCGCAAAGCGTAGAGTGGCCGAACTAAGACCGGCGAGGGCCAGCCAAGCGATGGCAAGGAAAATGATGAAAAGACGCATTCGAATCACAGCCCCGGTAGTATTAAGAGGCATTTTCTGTCCGTAAAGACAGCTGAATAGATAACAGGAAGATGAGTTTAGTTCTTTTCGGGGCTATAGATGAGGAAGTAAACAATAAGGCAAAAAGATGAAGAACGTGAATAACTCAGGGCGCCGTGAATTTATATGTGCTATGCGCTTTTCTCGGTAAGAATATTTCAAGTAGAAACGCTTTTTCTATCCTTGAGATCTAGGGTCACAGAACCCGTCTCCAATTCTTGGTAGTAAAGCAGATCTAGGAATAACCCCGTGTATTCCTAGGATTTACGGTCCTATAGAATGGGGCCAGTATATTACCATCATCTCCAAGACGGGTGATGGATTGTACATAACATATTTCTATGTAGCCAAATAGTGATCCCAAGAAAAATTCCGACACAGACAGATTTTGCCTTAGTCTTTTTACCTCGAGGAACATATTCTTTGCTGTTAGTTAACAAACTTCCGAACACTTCCACAGAAAGAAAAATTCAATTTTCTTTCGTTTTTATTTTAGCTTACTATATTTGTTGCCAGCTAGTTTAAGATCTACTTCCAATCATAAGACAGCCCTCACTGTTCGGTGAACCAACACGGCCGATCGAGAATCAATCTTGAACCAGAAAATCTAACAAAGTCCTCCTAGTAACCAAGTAACTAATATAGCTCAAGGATCTATTTTCCATGGATGAAAATCTCATATGCTTTTCCACTTCAATGGTTTCTTTATTCAACGTTGATATACTATAAACGTTAACATCAACTTTCTCACATTGTTCACCACCCGTACATCTTTAAAGATGATTATCAGAGAATACTTAGCAGATATTTCGACACGATATTACCAAGCTATTGTAGAAGAGTCCAAAAACCCAGTGCTTCTGGAAGCACAGTGATCTGAAAACATCCTACGAATGGTATCATACCAGCACACTACTAGCGGAGTATTATCGAAGATACCAAAGCCCCGGTACTCCTGGAAGCACAATAAAGACTCAACTGATCGTCCTTTTTACTGTGGTTTTTCAGACGGCTGAACCATGACGCAATAGTAGCCTCCAAGATATCGGAATACAACTCCCTCCCGCATCTTTCTATTCATAACCAACTCCAATCTGACAGCCAGATTACTCCCGGGAATACGCTTCAAACCAATTTGTAAGTCGGGCAACTCGTAGATACGGCAACTAGATTAAAACATAGGATAATTCGACCGTCATTAAGGCAAAATATCAACATCCGCACTCCTCCTGAAAGCCGGCACTAATATTAGTAACCAGCGAAAACTTGATAGCGAACATATATTTCATAATGGATGCTTCTTTGTCTTTCTTTTTTTTGTTATATTTTTATATTTCTTTTCAGTAAATTACCGATGCAGCGCCATCACTAAAGACCAAGCAATCATCATAGATCATGAGCTGCCAAAGGTATCAAAGAGGTCCAATACCCCAGACACAGAAGAGCACAATAGACTTACATAGCAAACTGATATCGTTACTTTAGATCCCCTTCTTGATAAATCCATCTTCTAACAATCTATTTCATAGAGGCAATGAATCGACGGAAAATTTCCATCGGATCGTTGGCCAATTTACCCATAGGAATCGCGGCCACACAAGCCAGGTTCTACAGCCCTCTCTTAACCAGTCCACCGGATCTGTGGCTACAGAGGTAGCTACTTCTGTTGCTACCTCTTTAGCTAGCCCAGGGTCCAACACATTACCTCCAATCGCCATCAAGACTGAAGATCAATATTGTCCCTCACTGAACGCAAAAAAGAAAGCAGCCGAGTCCTCATTTCTCTCACGAAAACAACGCCGACATTCATACTCCATCTCTCAAAAACCGGGTCGTTCGCAACTAATGCATCGAAAGAGTCCCCCAAGCCTTACAACAGTTAGTATTGAAATGGTCAACGACACAATTCAATACCTACAAACGCTATCCGACCGAATCTTGATCTCCGACACCATCCCCTCCAGGGAGTGGGACACTATGCATCTTGCCACGCGATTGCTACAGAGCAGGTACGAAGAGGTCATATCAAGGAAAGAGATGGAAACAGACGCTGTGTCCGATTTTAATTCCGCACCAACACAGCCAGGAGAGAAGTGCCGGTAATGTGCTGCTGCAGATGAGGAGCGGCTGTATGACTGAGGCACTTTCTGTGTTTATAACCTTGCTCGCTATGTTTTGATAACATGGTCCTTGAAAATTGACCATCGAATAAAATGTTGGGGAACCAAGAATCGGTATATTTAAGAACGTGCTGAGCTTCAAGTTTATTAATCATGGATAGAGCACTTTTAGGTACGAAGATGGGTTGAAAGCTTTCCTGTAAGTGATGTGAGTCCACTCGACAAGCAAAAGTATGTGAAAGCCAGGTGCATCTTGATCTTCAATCAATGCAATCGAGATTAAAAAAAATAAGACAGCATCTACCAGATAGATCGGGCATTGGAATGATGAAGCAATAGCATTTTCAAAAGTCGAATCATCTCGAATACCAAAACTAGCCACTCTTTGGGTTACTCAACCTGCTTCACTCGCAGCGATGCAATGGATTGTGTTGTACCATCTACAACAGAAACATTTGCGCCGTTCTGCTAATAGGTTCGTGACTGCTGGACCTTACAACTCGGCTGTTTTACGGTCATTCTGTGTCTAAGTGCCAGCACATTAATTCGGGTGGACCAATATGGCATCACTTGTAGACTGCAGTAGACTCTAGTATTGGTAAGACAGGAAAGCCTAAAGTGTCCAGACCCAAAGCAGCCGTACAAGTACTAGTCGGAGAATCATGAGAGGACGACTCGCCGTGCTGAAAAGCGAGCTTCCAAGTCAAAGGCATACAGTAGATTTCGAAAACGGATTCCCCTGTGGACACCAGCACATTGTTTCTCGGCCTGTACCCGAAACCACCCTAATCTGTATTCGGCTAAAGCGAAAATAATCATGTCCTAAGAATAGAATCGCTATAGATTTCAGAACCGTTTCATTACGTATTATATTGTATATTACATGAAACACCTATACACTCCCCCTCTATGCCTAACATTCCATCCTTTTGCAGCACCACCTTTTGAGTGGAATCATATGCACAATATGGCACCGAATCTATCTATGTCAAAG